GACTGAATTTTAGGAGAAGCGGACGACCCATTGAAAAACTCATGATTGATGGCAGCAAAAGTTTAGTAAATCTATTGAAGCAATGTGAATAACAGTCGTCAGAGGGAGGTGTTTCATAATATTTTGGAGAGGTCTTCTTTGACCCGTTGTTCGAAGAAGGCTGAGTTTGATTATATGCGGAATATACATGCTACTATGAGTCACTTAGGCCTTTCCTGGACAATTATAAGTCCTTGCAAACGTTTTTTGAAAGAGACCCATATGTGGACTGGGTGGAGCTTGGTAAAATTTTCCAACACCCATCTTGTCCTGAAAATAATCCTAGAAATGGGCAGCTTCGTGTTGTGCGCTATTTAACCCCTGAAAGTGGCTCGAGCGCAATTCGAAACACTGGGCATTTGCAAATAAATATGACCATCAAGATTAGACCTGCTGTGAACTATCCTGATGGAGAATTATGTTTTCGCATGCCATTCTCACCAGTCAGCTTTATTCTCCTATTTTAATAAAATAAATAAATTTCCAACTCGATGATGGAAATGCAAGAGGTAAAATTTTGCTTCAGATATCATGTAGGGCTCGCCAAAGATGAGGTTGCATCTCCGTCGCGGAAAGCGGACAGCTACCATAGTCGGGGATAGCAGCCAAAGCAAGGTAGTAGATGGTATGTTTCTAAACCTGATACGAACCCTGCAAGGATCAGCTAGCCAAGCAATAGTGATCATGGGGCAGGCAGATCTCCTTACGTCTTGAAAGCAAGCCGGTCTAGGAAAGGGGCTGTTTGGATTGCAGTAGGTGATGAAAGCATTAAGGTCACCATGCGTACTTCTCTTCAAAGAAAATATGGTGAAATTTGCCACTTCGCGCTCCGCTTCATGAACAGAATATAATATCTCGACAAGACGAATGCAAATTTCAGGAAAGTCCGGATAGATGCAGAAAAAAATAATTAAGTAACGTCCAGATTTCAATTACTAATAGCGAATTTACATTTTGAAACATACCGCACACTTGTGTCCAGTCGCCTACATGGACAGTTGAAGCTGACCAAGGCTCAGTTTTATTCCGGCATCTCCAGCGCGTTGGATGCAGATTCTGTTTGTCTCTGACATAGCTTAGGGTAGTGGCAAATTTTATCGGTTTTCGAACCAAATCCTTATTCGTCCCGACTCGCAGATGCGGTTCTACACTCAGTGTACTGCAGGAGACAGTGGAGTCATGACCCGCATGAATTGTGCCCCTGGACGATTGGATTCAGGACCGGGCGTTTATTCTTAGTAAATCGAATATCCAAAATTGAAATCATAGGATAGCCTTATTTTATCATGTGTTTCAGGTGTAAGACTGGAACTGAGAAAGGGACTAAGAGGAATGAATAAATGTACATTACAGTCAGAAGCAAAATATTGTTTATTATGCAAACTGCTGGAGATTTTCCGTGATTTTGCCAAGCTTTCTTCCAACGTATCATCAGCAATGTCAAACTCTCTCTAGATCACCTGGACCACTCGATCTTATGTTGTGGTGAAAGGTCCTTCTAATAAACTGACCTGCCTCAAGGTCATGAGGCTAACGAATGAAGATTGGAGAGGGCACCGTCTCCGTTATTCCCCGGTTATGGCAGAATTAAATATTTCAAAAATATTTTCAACTCTGTGAACAGATGGCGACCATCGGGAGTCCAGAAAGGATGAGAGAAACTTCTCAGATTAAACAACATTACTAAAATAGCCCAGATTAGCATGGAAAGTATAGAATATGCAATAGTATGGAAAGCACGGTGAAAACTATGCTGATGAATCTTGTATGTTGATGTCGCCATCCTCAGAATAAAGATGAAGTGATAATCGCTTATTATCACAGGGTACATTGGTCTGTTAGCGAAACGATTCAGGGTCCAAGGACGGATTTTGCTATAATATACACTTCGCTTTCTTTTTGCTAAACACGACCATTCAGTTTAGTCGTTGCTTGCTCTAGGCCACTAAAGGGTTGCAGCCTTTGGGTTGGTTTTATTGCCAAATGCGTAGAAAGACGCCTTCATATAAACTGTGATCTATTTTAGCTGGCAGACTGTGCCTGTGGAATTACCGTAACCCTGCTGAAGACGCAGATGCACACGCGACCTTTCGCAGCTTCAAGCAAACTCTGGAACTCGTGTGTGACAACGGAAAATCTGGATATTTAACATGGACTCCGGACAGCAAAACACCAGATGTATTATATTACCAGGTAGGGCAAAAGCAATTTAAATTTGCAATTAAATTTATCAAGGTCTAATGCTGAATTCACATCTTTGACCTTCACCTTGACATCGTTAGCTGTATCATGTGGTCTCTAAGTCTGTTGCTAAGCTGTCAATCCAGATGATTCAGCTTGATTAATTAAATTCGTCGTTTTTCAGAAAAATTATAATTAATTGTTTCATAATTTAACAAATCATGCTCTTCCTTTCCATATTTTCCAATTTTTTGACCTTGCTTTCATTCTGTTCAATAAACTGCACTCCGCTCATGAAGGTGGAGTTAATCTTTCTCTCAACTGTTTTCCTTCTACCGGGAACTCCGCTGGAAACGGAAAAAGCGAATCTGCATGATTTAATTATGACAGCAACAACAAGGCGGTACTAGTATTATTTGCACATAATGTTTCATAGCGTTCTACATCATATATAGCATTTAAGTCAACATCCAATCGTTACATATACGGATTGGTCCATTTCCACAATCCCGTCTCTTAAACCTTTACAGAGGACTAATTTACTTGATCAATCCATCAACAGGCGCCCCGCAACGTTTATGCTGACTATACATTCCTCCAGTAATGCGGAAGAATGACATGCTCCTGTAGTTCAGTCCTATAGCTAAATAGTTTAAGGTTTAAAGTTTCAATGTCAGAAATTGAAATGTCATGATAACCAATAGAATTAAACAGTTACCATGTGGTGGCCAATCGGAAACAAACAGTATTATGCCTTGTTTGTATAATCGTATGCAGATAGTGATAGTTGGTACTCGAACACACTCTTTTTGAGTCCATCTCAGTGAGGTACAGTTGCATCCAATGCTACGCAGACGCTTGCATGCTATGGAGTCGTGACCTGCCTACTTGGGCCCCAACAGAGGAGCAGAAGCACGTAGTGGTGCGCTGACGCCGGGTAAATCCGGTATCAGAAATGGAGAAGTTATGATTGTCGGCGGAATGGGAAAGTTAATACGGTATGATGACACTAAAAACACGAGGTTTCACTTAAGTCATGTGGATTTACTTTATAACTTTGACCTGTAGTGATACTCTGCTGTTAAAAACGCATTTGTTGATGTTTATCCAGTTATCGTACATCACGATGTTTAGAGCTATGTAAACTTTAATATGGGCTGGAAAATTATGGTCACCGACGAAATTCCAGCCGAACTCCCTGATGCGGATGAGGAAACGTACCAATACACCGAAAAGAAGATCATACCTCCTATCAAGAATCGGCCGAGTGCTACATCCGTCGAACAACTGCTAAAGCCAGACGACAATGGCTCCTTCCGACAACAATATGCCCCATTAGTCGTTTTCGTAACTGTTGTTCTGGCCGAAACTGTAAAGGCGCTGCTCTGATCATGACGGATGTGCGAGGAAACATTTAAAGAAACGAGTTAGGGTGTCTAGCTCGACGAACTCGAACCTCATTATGCTGGAAAAGGTGATTTTCAAGGTCAAGACGCGCTATCCTCCCTGAACCGGCGGCCGGCGCCTGTGACGCAATTTCCGGTTAAGCTGTACAGCAGTGACTGTGTAAATTTTAACTGATCAATGCTGTTTACCGTTACCCTTCATATTCTTTGCAATATGTGCTTGCCGCCGTTATGTTTCAAGCTGTTTGTATGTATCTCTGAAAATAAGATCTATGTTATATTTTACATAAGCAAAGAAACAGTTTGCGGATTCATCAGCTCAGCAATCCTCGTCCCTACAAGAAATTAAGAAAACTTACAGGTCTGAGTTCGGTGGCTTACTCGTGTGAAATCCATTAAACGGGGCGGGGATCTCTTCCAGATCTATAACGTCCGTTGGGAAACGGAACAGTATTAATATGTCTCAAATAACTTAGAAAATGTCTAAACATAGAAATGCCAAGGACGTACAGGAAATATGCAAGATGGCAAATTCTAAGACAGGCTTAAATGGAACCATGTCCGAATCTGTCTGTCTAACCTAAGTACGTTAGTAGCATTGTACAAGCTTCAGCATCAAAATTAACCTGACAATAATCGCCGATACTGTTTAAATTGTTTTTGTTAACTTTTCCCTAACAGAGTCTCCTGAATATGGATCGATTCTAATGTAAAACGTACGATTGGTTGGATATCATACATAAAACAAAAAAATTCCTTTTAATGACTGTTATGATGAATAATTCATGATAAAATTGAATATCATAAGTTTTCCATATGTGCAAGTATATCAAATAATGAGTGACTCCTTCAGCACCATATTTCACGGGTTTCTCCCTTTCGCCTTTACTCCTTATTGTTAGGAGGGTCATTTAGACAGGACGTGGCTCTATGGTATTTGAACCCTTTCATCACCAGGCGTATCTTGCATCATTTGAGGAGGAGGATGGAGTGTAGCAGCGCATGAGGTATCGTTCATAATAAAAGCTGAGTGGCTTTAACGGACAAAATGATGTGAGATGCATTTGGCTTGCAATTGCTCAAATACCATGAAGACTTGGCCTGCTCAAATTGCCTGTCTAGGCACCTAGAAGCAACGGAGAAGTGTAGTACGTTGCAAAACCTAGTCTTGGAGGAGTCGTTCATTATCTGATCGATATACTGAAAATAGTAGTAACAAACCAAGTCATCGATGGAAGCAGTTACAGAGAAGAGAGATTTCATTTTTCGAAACACAGCCACAAAATCACAAACCAAAGACATTCAAAAATCATAATCTGGTCAGATACAATTCATTCAACCTTATGAGTATTTGTAGAGGTCAGACGAATATGGTGGTCTCAATCCCCAGAAAAGAAAATCAACCCTGAATGAGGATAATTGGAGGTTCTAGTTCATCATATCACTATTGTACACAGTGAACGCTGTACATCGTACCGAGGGAGGGGGAGGGGGAAGAATTCTCCTACCATGGACTGTAAAAGGCAGGCAAGCAGAAACATAGATCTGAACCTTTGCTGTATCGCACAGTCGACCGACGAAATTCGGGAAGCGATTCGATTCCATCGAAATTTGAAGTCCTGCTGTAGCAACGGTGTAAATTTCCTGAAACACAGAAGTGTTGCCTGCATGTCCACCAGGTTTACAACAAGTTAGTGATTCCTGGCTAAACCCGGTGAACGGCGTGACCGTTCAGATTTTAAAGATTTGAATTCGCGCTGTTGTACGTATCACCTATGAATTACACAAATGATCAATGGAAGATGAAAGGAGGGCGTCCATTTTTTGTTGCAAATGAGTGAAAAACTGATTCGTGAGGGACACTGCTGCACGAGCAAATTTTCTTGCCCAAACAGATTATGTTGCAAGTCAAGAGCCTCGAACTTCTGTTGAACGCGATACCTCTGGATATCTGAACATGTTGTTTCTGTAAACAATATTTTAGAAACGGAATTACCAATCAACGTCATAACCTCAAGGTTTGATACACCTTCCTTCAACAAAAACCCAGATTCTCATTGAGAAACCAAACGTACCCTGAAGCATGTAACTATTTTTCTGGACGGCGCAGGTTCCGACGGTGGTTCAAAGAATCTATGCCAAGAGATATGTCACCTGTTTGTCGGCAACCTGAGCTACAGCCTCAAGCACAACTTGGTAATATTCTGAAATTGTGATCCATCGCAATGATCACTCTGGTGTTCAAGAAACCTGGTCTATCGTCGCCCTAAATTTTCGCCCAATTGCTGTAGCATCGGTTTTCTAAGTGCATGAAAATGTTTTTGCAACAACGATTTAAAAAAGCAAGCCCATTTAGTAGCTTATCCTTGCCAGTTCATTTACAAAGAGCAAAGAGGCCGTGAGGATGCCTTGGCTCATTTGGCCAATGCAGTTACAGAAGGTTTTGGCGATTCTTTGCCTCGTTGGTATCAGTTCGACTCCCCTGCGCTGGTTAGCCAGTTATCCCTCGGAGATCACTCGATTTCTACGCGTCGGCGGATGCAAATCTTCTACACTATCAACCATCTTAAAAGTTCTGCACTGTGAGGTTGTTTCTCCTCTTCACAGTATACACTCAGCATGGAAAGTTAACCTCCTGAATAAATGCATTAAAAGTGCCAATGACGCCTTGGCACTATGTTTCTTTCCATCAGAAGATGATCTCCAAAGTAATCCTGCGCAGTCGCTGCTGTTAAGGCCTGGTCAAATAAAATTTCTCACTCATTAATTATATTAAATCCAAGGAATATTTAATCTGACTCAATGAGTATTACGATATAAAATTAACAAACCGTTTCGCCCCTCCATTTCGCTGCAGAACCAAATGATAGGTTTCTTAAGCACGAACCATCTTGATGCCGCTGTCGAAAAAAGTTTACATGAATTGTACAAACACATATCTATATAACTATGGGCCCAGAATCAAAAAGCTGAAATATTATTTGCTGATGTATAGACTTGTCTTTGTTTCCTCTGAGGATTTATAAGAGAACTGATCAACAGCCATCTGAAATTGAAGTTTTTTTGGACATATTGTTATCTTCATGACATCAGTATCTTATGCTCATACTGACCTTCAAAATAGCCAGAGCGATTTATGAGCATATAATTTCCGCTTCATCGCCCTAACATGCGACTCCGTACTTCAGTCGTTGTCAGCTCTCGAAAACAGAAATATTCACGTTGGTTTTTCAGAACTCCGTAATATGATGGCAAATACGAAGAGTACATTTTAGATTTTACTTTAATTCGACCTCTAGTTTTGCCGCTACCGATCCCAAGCCAGAATGAAAAATGATAATGGTTGGGGATTGCCGAGAAGTATTCCCCTTACAATACTGACGCTATCATGTCTGACATCGTCTTGTACATTCAATTGCAGCGCTTTTACTAACCCCTGGATTTCTTGTCGTTTCGTTCTTACACCTTTTATGGCAGAATGTTGAAGCATTCGGAAGATCGGACATGGCAGAAGGGGCGGATGATATTCAGCTGCAAGAAAACACTCGACAGCGATAACTTTCAACAACTGTTGAGTCATCCTACAGAAACCTCCATTAGCTCAAGACACGTCTCATCATGCAGCTTTTCAGCAGTGTTTGCGTTGTTTTCATACAAGAAATTTGGCAGCGTTCTACGGGAGGAAAGAACGTGCTCCAATTGGAATACTTAGTTTGTCATCACCATGATCGACCAGCTAAAGTTAAATCACACGGTGGTGATGTAGAAAATATAATAATTTAGTAAATATAGTAAATTTGATCTACTTGACCTGGTGTTCAAACTGCTCCGTGGAGATTAACTAATGCGAAGAAGATCAATGGAATTTCTCATGGATTCAAACAAAGGTATCATAGGGGAAAACACTGACTTGCATCCGAAGCCTTTTCGACCTGTCTGGTCGACCCTGTGGCTGTTTTGCTGATACGTTAAGGTGCATCCTAACAAGATGCTTGATGAAGGCAAAAGTTTCTATAAACAGGAATATTCTAACCAGTCTTACGTACTCTGTACGAGTGTTTCCGACAGTGTGTTTCGAAGCGGCCATGTATAAAATCCGTGAGGCTTACCGCGGGACAGTCGATCTGGTTGATTCCAAGAAGAAAGTGCTGGCATTTTGCATCAGACTGTAGAGCGCATGATATATTTATTTTTCACTGGTTGTTTTGTTGTTTTACAGTAGTTCATTTGTCATATCCATAATTAGGCAACTTAGATTGTGCCTTAGGGTTCACTTAAGTAAATTTGACCGACTGAATGACGATGGGGCAATTTCGACCATTTGCTTATTCGTCTCTTTGTTTAGAGGTGGCCGGAAGTTTGCTGCTACATGTTCTCCGTTGCATATGAATATTCCATTTTGGAATGAGTTTGTTTTAGGAGTATCTCGTTTGAAGTGTTCCGCTCGTGACTAGTGACATGATGACGTCATTCTGAGTTTTCCTAAGAGCAGTCTTGTTATCAGAGATACCTGGTGTTGTGTGCTTAGCAAGCAGAGTGGCTCGAAGCACACTGCGCTGTTTGCTGAACGCACTTCGAAAAGAAACGGATGTCGACATACTCTGAATGCGATGTCATTAGTCTTTCAGCCTTGAACATTATTTAATTAGATATGAGACAGAAGTTGACAGCAGATGAGGCAAGTCGAGTATCGATTATGAAAGAATGTTTTTCAAGCATATTTTTCAGGCTCGATTTAGCAATTTCGCCTTCCTACAACATGGTTTATTCAAGAAGACAAAAAGAACAGGGTTGTCTAGACAATTAAAAATCATTCTTGCGAGCCCGCATGAAACCGTTAGTATTCAACGGAGGCAAATTATATTGTTTGCTTTAATATGCATAGTCTACCGTCTCCTTATGATAATTATGTCAGATCATTTAACTGAAGGTTTGCAAAGAATTAACGAAAATCCATTTTCAAAAATAATTTCCGAAGCTAAT